CCTGTAATTCCGGCTACTCGGAAGGCTGAGGCGGAAGGATCGCCGGAGCCCAGCAGGTCGAGGCTGCGGTGGCTGGGAGCGGCCGCTGCACTCCAGTCTGGGCGACACAGTGAGACTCCAACTCAAAAAAAAAAAAAAAAAAGAGTGGGTACGCATCTAGAATGATTCCATTTATACGAAATTCTAGAAACTGCAAATTAACCTGGAATGATGGAAAAGCAGGTCAGCGGTTGCCTTGGGGTGGGATTGGAGAGGATGAGGGTCGAATGACAAAGGAGCTCCCAGGAACTCTTGTAGGGTGAAGCTTAGGCTTCTTATCTTGATTATGGTTTCGCAGGTACATACACATGTCAGGGGTGGTGGCTCATACCTGAAATCCCAACACTTGGGGAGGCCAAGGAGATAGGATGGCTTGAGTCCCGAAATTCGAAACCAGCCTGGGCAACTTATCAAGACCTCATCTCTATAAAAAAAAATTAACTGGATGTGGTGGTGTGTGCCTGTGGTTCCAGGTGCTTGGGAGGCTGAGGTGGGCGGGTCATCTAGCCGAGGAGGTCGAGGCTGAGGTGAGCTGGATCAGTCTGGGAAGCAGAGATCTGACTCAAAACACAAAACAAACAAACAAAAAACTCAAATTGCATACCCTAAATCTAGTGTGTATTTAATCTCGATAAATCTTTTTTTTAAAAAAAGGCAACAAGGTCAGGCTCAGTGGGTCAGCCTGTAATCCAGCACTTTGGGAGGCTGAGGTGAGTGAAGTGTCTGGGTTGGCAGGTTTGAGACCAGCCCGGGCAACTTGGCAAGACCTCATCCCTACAATAAATCAAAAATTATCTGGGCATGGTAGCGCACACCTATAGTTCCGGCTACTTGGAAGGTTGAGGTGGAAGGATCGCCAGAGCCCAGCAGGTCGAAGCTGGAGTGGCTGTGAGTGGCTTTGAGATGACAGAGTGAGACACCAACTCAAAAAAAAAAAGTAACAATAATTTAATGAAGACAAACAAGCAATCGAAGAAAGGAAAAAAATCGCACAGGTTGCCAATGATTCCTCAAGATTTTGGTAGGGAGGCGAAGGAAAAATAAAAGGATCCTTTGCTGTTTTTGTTTTTGTTTTTTGAGGGACTGCCACGCCTGACTCAGTTTTGATTTTTGTAGAGACAAAGTCTCGCTATGTTGCTTAGGCTGTCCTGGAATTCCTGGGCTCAAGCAATCCTCCTGTCTCCATCTCCCAAGGTGATGGTATTACAGGCGTGAGAGGATGCCTTGTAAGCTGCATGCGTCACTTGGCAGGAGGGCTACTCTTGGGTAGTCCTCACCACGCCTCCCGGCCCCATGTCTGCTCATGTTCCAAGGTTTCAGCAAACAGTTCGAAAGAGTGAAAGCCGCTCAGAGCCCAGGGTCGATCCCAGTGCCCAGAGACCACCCAGCAGGGGCTGCATCCCTGAAGACTGGCCATGGGGACCCTGCATTCTCTCGAAATGTGCATAACTTCCCTCAGCTTTGTGATGGGCATGCTGTCCGCTGGTGGTAGGGGAGAAGCCACGGCCTGCACCGGGAGACATCTGCTTCCCTGGAGAGTTTCCTCCATGTGCAATAGGCCTTGGTGCTACCTCACGGGAGTCACGATTGAAGTTGCTTCCGGCCCTTGGACTCACAGCCTGGGCCACCCTCCTCTGCCCCACACCTTGGAAGGAGATGGATGCTCTGGGTGGGGTGAGTCTCCCCAGTGAGAATGGGGCTGCAGAGCTGGGGATGGTCTGGGCTGGCCCCCACGGCTCGGGCAGGGCCCTGGAGTCTGCTCTGCTGCGGCATGTGAGCTTCTGACAACTGCTTGTCTGCATCTTAGACTCTTTCATCTGCTCAGTGCTCCAAGGCCTCGATAGAACTGCCATTACTGGAGGCTGAACGCTCACTTGTAGCTGGGGTGATCATCATTTTCAAACATCTTCTATAACGCCTGATGCTACTCGTCATCTCTGTGGTCACCTGGCATGGTGCCAAGACAGAGTGTTGGGCCCAAACAGACCTCTTCTTGCTTCTGAAAGTACCTGTGCTTCCTGTTTTCCAGGCTGCTGTGTGTGCAGGTCTTGACACCCACATATTTTGCTTCTAACCTCACCTGAAGGGGAAGTCTTTCTTTCTTTCTTTCTTTCTTTCTTTCTTTCTTTCTTTCTTTCTTTCTTTCTTTCTTTCTTTCTTTCTTTCCTT